CAACCAGGTTCTACTCTGTTGTATTATTCACAATTCCAATAAGTGAGGCACTCCTTACTTGCATTTACAAGTTTTCTTTCTGTAAATCCATTGAAATCGGTATAAAGATCACAACTGAACAAAGTTTTGGACGTTGAAACATGATGGAGGTTGAGGACGGCCAAAACTGGCTTCAGTTGTACCTATCTCAATGGATTAATCCAAAAGTAGGTCTAGAGGCACTCGCATGTCTTGCAGCAGAGATATGTCAAAGCATCAGCATTTTATTGTCCACATCTACTATGTATACCACTGAACAGGCTACATGTGTTACTGTTTTACACGCTCAGCCCGGGCTTTACATTTCTTCTTCACAGTAATACCTAAGAAATTGCGCCATGCTGGATATCGGTTGCTTGTCATTTTGCAGAAAGAAATAGTTTTCCGCGTATAATATCTTAACTCATTGGCTTCTTTTGCAATGGACAAGTGTTGAGCAAGGAGGATGATTTGCTCCATGGCGATCAGAGAATTTCAGGGCTGCGAGTGTCATCTGGGTGTAAACACTCATCTATATTCTGAACTTACAGCTTTTGCCTCAGGGCTGCATCCAACAGCCCCACTTGTATCATGCATGTGCGTGTAAAAGCCGCAGCCTTAATTTTATTTATTTACATTCCTGTGATGTGAGGCTGCTTGCATCCCTGTGGAGGAGTGAGACCTAAATAAGTTTCTGGAGATTCTGCAGAGTAGAACTTAAATCTCCTTCTAACGATGTCATCAGTCCGGGATTACAGGTGTGGTATCGCATTGCATCCCTGGATAAACGTTTATAACCTGCATCCCAGAAAGGAGTTTCAGGACCAGTTGGCTGATCATAAAGATGGCATGTGGGCTTTCACTTTTCACATATGATGGGTTCGTTGAATGTGTCTGCTGAACTTTATAACTTATAGAATTTTTAGTTTTCTTCTTAATAAAGTTTCTTTTGTCCCTTTCCAGCCACCATCACAAGTTCATCGGAGAATGACGACCGCAGTGGTTCCAGTTTAGAGTGGAGTAAAGACGGCAGTCTGCGGACTGTAGGATATCAAGGGATGATTCACGAGAGGAGAACAGATAATTGCTCGCCCGTCGTAGAAGAAGAAACTGGCAGCACGGCAGAAAATATGCCCAAAAGTGACTCGTCTGCTGGCGAAGGCCCCGTTTCTTACATGCAGAACTCCAGCTCATTGATGATGCAACGACCCAACTCCGTGGCAGGTAAGCAATGCAATCCTAGAGGAACTGTTTGTGTTCCAGAGAAGTTTGGCTGGAGAAACCGCAAACTGGATTAGCGGTGCTTGTCATTTATTTGGACATTGTTTGTTTATTGGTTTAAAGCAAATGCAGTTTGCTCTTACTCAGAACAAATGCCGTCTTCAGAGGAATAGTCTACATGCAGTCTAAGCATCTTAATGGTCACAGGGGCTTCACCCTGGTAACCGAGCAGTTTGGGTTCTGTTTGTCTTTAGAAGAAATGTGCTGAGAAAGGCAGAGGACTTATCCTGGCCACACACTTCTTTTTTTAGAAACGTTCAGCATTTTTCATTGTTTGCTTGGAAATATTTTTATGTTGTTGAAACTCTGCTTGAAATGCGTGGGCTCCATCAGGGAATGTCTACATGATGTCTGTATTTGCACCAGATAATGCAAAATCACCTGCACTCCATACAGCATACAGACCTTAGATGAGAGGTTGGTGCTTGAAGTGACAACACGGATGGCGCCGTGTCAGATACAGTACATAATAGAAGTCACCAGCACTCGATGATATGTGCAAGAAGTAAAGCACTTTTCGGGGCCACGCAGTGTCCCTTCTTCTGGTCACGATGTCGCCCAGAAGAAAGGACCCTGCGTGGCCCCGAAACATTGGCTGTTTAATGCATGTGATGATTTAATAAAAAGTGCTTTACTTCTTGCACATATCATCGAGTGCTGGTGACTTCTATTATGTACTGTATTTGCACCAGGGCTGGACAAATCCCAGGAGCCAGGTAGCCAATGCTCCTTAAAAAGGACAGCTGGCACCTAAGTTTGGGAGCTTTCTTTAGTTATTGTTAATGGAGCTGGCTCCTTGATTCCGTATTAGTTTGTCTATACCTGCTTTACACATCTCTGTCTGTATGGATTATCCCATCATACAGGCTGGAAACTGCTAGATTAGGTACATTGAAGTCAGATATCTTTCACATGGGCCAGCATGTGAGGAATGCACTGACATTTCATGTTAAAGCATCTATTAGAAATGTCAGGTAGCATCTTATGATGTTGGTTTGGGAGTCATTGCCTTTTAACTGCTGATATATGTACACTTTTACTGCTGGAGTCGTGGATAGGTTTTATATGCGTTTTATAATCAAGTAGCATCTTGCCAGCCGCATTTAATCAGATTTATCATGCAGCGTTCCTTGGTCATCATCTGCTTTTGTAACATCAGTTGGTGTCATTGGAACTAACAGGACCCGTTGAGGGGTGTTTGCAAGATTTTTCTTTACTCTTCCTTTGAATCTATTGGCCACAATCCTCTTCAATTAAAAATAGGAAGTATAGTTGGTACATTTGCATATTAATTGAACATTAGCAAGAGCGGAGCAATCTGTTTTATACTGGAACTTTGCTGCACCTTTTGTATCACATTTATAGCAGATGTTTCTTGCACTGAATACCACCTTTTGTAGCCGATGTTTCTTACACCTTTGTAGCATAATTTTTAGATCTGCTGTGCCAGGTAAGAAATGTAGAAGTGTTCAGCTTAATTTTATTAATCCATTGGTGTTAATATTCTAAAAACTTGTTTTCTGTTGGTAGATTGCAGTTTTTTTATGGATATGGGGGAAGCCATGTTTCCTAAAAAAAAAAAGCTTTGTGGGTTCTGCTTCTTGCTACACAGTGGCTGATATTTTATCTTAACAGTTTTGAAAATCTATCCAAAACCAGAACTTTTGGATGGAATATGGATGTAATATGGAACGGTTAGAAATCGGTCAGGTTTTTATAGCTAAAGCAGAAATGGCCAGCACTCCATTAATAAAAATAAAGGTGTTAGTAGCAAATATTTGCAGCAAATCTGTGCGTAGGGCACACTGCCTCCATCAGTGTCCATATCTGTATATTGTGGTCCCTAATCTAACAAAGCTTCCAATCTGGGACATGCACAGCAATAAATAGATTAAAGGCAGGTTTGCCTGGTGCTGCCTTAAGGGCCCATTCATGGCAAAATCAGAACGGAGGGTCCATTGACTTGGAATTGTACCTTACAATTTCCTTCTGATCCAGAAAGGAAATGGGACGGAAGGGCACCGAAAACTGAATGGGTGTAAATGGGGCTAGTTCTCAATGGATCTGTTGCATGTTCTACTTTTCTTTTTAATGTAACAAAGTGGAGTGAATTGGCCCCATTCACGCCCCATACATTTTTGGTGCCCTTCCGTTAGCCTCCTTTGAAACGCGTATCGCAATGGACCTTTAAGGTGCACATACACACTGAAAACCGAGCACAGCACACAGACAGTTGAAGACCTTCCGTGTGTTCAAGAAATAGCTTTTTAGAGCAAAGTGCATGTTTGCAGCACACTTGCCAGCCTGTCGACAAAGGAATTCAAAGCTGTGTCCGGGTTTCCCAGGAAAGGGTGGCATAAATATTTTGGTGGTGCTGGTGACAGTCACAGCCAATGTAACTAACATTCAACCTCCAGTACCACACTATCACCCAGTCAGTGTAGTTGGGTGCGCAGCCAACTTTGGCACTATATAAATCTAAAGCAGAAATAGCCAGCACTCCTTAAACATTATCAGGGGAATTCAAAAAGTGTGTTGAGACACATAAGAGAAGTGTCATAGGGTTACAGGAATAGTGTCCTTATTTGTGCCAAATGCATGTACAAGGCTGCATAGCATTCATGAATTTGGCACAAGGCTGCATAGCATTCATGAATTTGGCACAAACCTATGACATTGGCGCTGGATTTAGAGACAAACTTTGGGACAGATAAATGCCCACTGATAAAGTACATAGATGTCTCATCTGTGTCTAAAGTGACATATATGTGTCTGAGACAGATTTCCTTTGGCTCCTCAGTTTCCTTGTCAAGGAACATCACATCTGAGGTATGTGTCCCATACTGTGACAGACATATACAATATGAACGTGTAACAAACGAGTTACGCTAAAAAGTGCTTGTTCTTACTTTGCATCACTTTTCTTATTATCGATCTGTCCGAATTAATTTATTGAATATGTAGCAAGCAAAGCGCCAGAATGAAATATGAACTACTAGAATTTGGTGCAGGATTCAGTAGAGGTCTGAAAATGGTGCAGTATGTTTTAGAATTTGGTGCAGACATTTCTGCAGACAATTTTGGCCGCATTACCTCCAGAAATCTTGTGCAGATGCAATATTGAATTCCCCTGTATGTATCTAAAGGTGCTAGTAGCATATATTTGCAGCAATAGTAAGTGGATGCCGCACTGGTTTTTTTTATAGCTCTGTGGTCCAGCTAGGGAGAGTTACCTTTTCTATTGGCCTGATAGAAAAATTGCAAATCATGAGTCATTAGTTATATCCACCTTGCCACCGTGGCTCTAACACCTCTGCCTCCATTGCAACTGCGGCAGTACCCATTGCTTCTGCATATGGCGGCACTTGTGACCCCCTCCACTGTGATGGAGCTTGGATCTAACAGGTAAGTAATCGTTAGGCCTGAGCACTATCACATGACTGAAGGAGCAACGTCCCCACTTCCTTAGCATTCATCACTAAAGATTTTAGTGGCGGCTTTGACAAAGACACGACAAAGTGAATGCTGGTAAAATGGATCAAGGGGAGTCTTGTTCACCTCCCTGGCGGCATTCCCGAGTTTGGCTCGGGGTTAATTTTCAGTACCAAAAGTGGTAACCCCCAAGCCACACTCGGGATTGCGCAAAAGTGTCACTTACCTTGTCCCTGCAAGCCCGCTGTGTCCTCTGCTGTGTGCGCCCGGCCGATGTCGGCATTCGGCTTTCAGTTTCGTTTTCGAGCATCACAGCAGGGGGTGGAGCCGGCAAGAAATTCAAAAGTGCAAACATGACATTTACATAGAATACAATGTAATCTGCTATAATTACATTTATGTATCAATTTTGTCCCTAGAGCTTTGTCCAGTGCCCTGCCTGCACTATTACTGTTCTTTCTGCCTGGAAACTTGAGAAGGTCCATGGCATCCAAAAAGCGTCCCTTTAGGTCAAAAGCGGTTTTAGACCAGCTAGAAAACAGCGAAAGTAAATTAGAATCACTTGCAGAATTGCAATTCGTTGTGAAATTCGCCATCAGACACTGAAAGTGACAACAGCGACGATTCTGCGACCAAGCTTAGTGATGTGCGAACTTGGTACTCTATTGACTGTGGTACGGATCAGGCAACGCCCCCAGAATTCCCATTTACTGGACCATTGTTTTAATTATTATATTATAATTTTTTATAATTATTTATTATATTCTAATTTATGAATTCGTGTTTCAAACTTTATCATACCCGGGATGTCTACTGGACTCTTGTTTGGACAGATTTAGGTGAGTTATTCCTAAGATTTACTAAAAATTACAGCCCTACAATATAAAACAACAAATTGCCATGAAAAACAATGTACCGCTTTGGCATGCTAAAATCCTGCATAATCATACCGCCAGGGTGTTTAAGGCAAATCTGTTCTAACTGAATGGACCTCCCTGGAGGTTAGCCGAGGTTCTCCTGAGGTCAATCATGTCCCATATACAGTCAAAATTGTTTCACCGATGTCTCTTTTCTACTAGCCTTTTGCCTGTCTCTGGTATTTTTTAATATGTAGATCCATATTTTCAATGCAATTTTTTTTTCCAGTATGTTCTCCAGTGACCCCTGGCTTGATATGAGATGACCTTCTTTTCCATGGAATAGTCATTCACAATGTCTGCATTCTGAAGCGTAATGTCAGGGAGAAAAGAGGAGGGCGTCCGGGCAGCCCGAATTGTGCCATTGCCCAGTTTTGAATTTTGGACACTGATGTGGTTGCGAGCAATGTGCTCTCAGAATTCTTGTTACTAATTGTGCCAAATTCCTTCTGGATGAGCCGGCAAAAAACTGGGATCCAATTCGTCTCTCCGGGGAGGGCCGGAGATGATGAGAACTGAGTAGGTGTGCTCCCTGCCTGTGTTTATTGTGTCAGCAACATGGGGCGAGAAAACAAACATTGAAGCCTGTCACTC